AGCCATCAATAGCTACATTCTCGTGGGGGGATTCATCCCACCAAGTTTCCGTAATAGCAATCAGGTCGTAGCTTTCTAGCAGCACGATAGCTTCCAACTCCTGTTTGTTTCCCATGCTGTGTGCATTTGTATACGGCAGGCAGGGCCTTGCTTTCAAGACAATTGACCTTTTTTTTTCCAACTCGACTGTTGTACTGGTCTAGAGGGCCAGTAGAGGACAGAGAAGGTCGGATCACTTTTTTTGAGCAATCCTTCAAAGATCAGTCTTGCCTTTAGCAGACAAAAGCTGCATATTGCCCCCTTCCCCATAATATTAAAAGCTTCAGGAAGAACTAGGTTTATAAAAAGCTCTGAAATTTTTCATGGTTTCTGTCTTTAATTGTAGAAGAGAGAATAGATTTATTACCAGTATTCCTGTACAATCCAAATTCAGTATCTACAGCTGTAAGGTTACCAAAGACCAAGATGGTGTAAGGCTGCCCACAAAAAGATTATAAAAGAATTAAAAGACCATAACTATGTAGTCTTAAACATTTAACAAGCAGGTAAAGTGATGACAAATATACCGATATTGAAAATACACAGCCAACTTTTCACTCACTTGAATGTGAAAACCACGATGACAATGTTTCCCATGATGGCATGGGGATTTTTCTTTTTTAGCAAGTGTTAGGTTTTCCTTTGACTACAAATGGCAGATGAACAGTGAAATGTACTGGCATATATCAATGTATTTAGGATCAGTCTATTAAAAAAAATAGGGGGAAAGCCTCCATTTACAGAAGGGCAATGCATCTCTAATGGAATCTGTGGTTTTATTCTTTCTGTGCTTCAGGACTGTATTGGTGGCTCTTTCTAATCAAAATTAAAATGTTGGCAGCATGAGTTCTGAGACAGAAATGCCTTAATTCATCACCTTTTTTATACTGAGGACTAGCATTTGGAAAGAAAATTGATACCTGAGTGCAAGAAGTTCAGATAGCAGAGCCTGCATCATCAGAGGCGGGCAGGTAGGTGGATTAGTCCTTCTGTGCTGCTGGGATTGTGCGAATTG